CCAGCACTAGGGAGGCAGAGGCAGGCAGATCTCATGGTTCAAGGCCAGCTGGGGCTACAGGGAGACCCTGTCTCAAAAAGACCAAAACAAACAAACAAAAAACCCTCTTGTTGTCAAGCTCACGTGGTAAGCACTTTTACTTGCTGTGCCACCTCCCTGGCCCACTTTGTTTTCAGAGCAAGGTCTTGTTATGCACCCAGGCTGATCCTGAATTTAAGGTCCTCCTGCCTCAGTCTCTCCAATGCTGCAATTACAGGTGTGAGCCACCATTCCATGTCCTTCTCATTTTTCAATTCCAGCTTAGGCCAGAGAATGTTCTTTTTTTTTTTGGTCTTTTTGAGACAGGGTCTCCCTGTAGACCCAGCTGTCCTGGAACTCATAGTGTAGACCAGGCCGGCCTTGAACGCACAGAGATCTGCCTGTCTCGGCCTCCCAAGTGCTGGGATTAAAGGCGTGTGCCACAACGTCTGGCCCCAGAGAATGTTCTTATCTAAAGAAAGAAACTCAGCGGGGCGTGATGGCTCACGACTTTAATCCCAGCACTGTGGAGGCAGAGGCAGGTGGATCTCTGTGAGTTTGAGGCCAGCCTAGTCTACATAGCAAAGTCCAGGCCAACCAGGGTTATGTAGTGAGACCTTGTCTCGAGAAAAAAAAAAAAAAATTAGGGCTGGAGAGATGGCTTATAGGTTAAAAGGACTTATTGCTCATGAAGTTCAGATTCTAGCACCATGTCAGGTGGCTTATAAATGCCTGTAACTCCAGCTCCAAGGGATCCAACACTCCCCTTCTGGCTTTATTGGGCACTGAAGTCACACACACACACACACACACACACACACACACACACACACAAAGTAAAATAAATCAAAAAAAAAAAAAAGAAGAATTGAAACTAGAGCTGGTTGTGGTGGTTCATGTCTGTGATCCTAGCATTCAAGAGAGCCTGAGGCAGAGGATCACAGTGAGCTCCAGACCAGCCTGGGCTACAGTTTGAGATTCTGTCTCAACCCCTCACAAACAACAATACCGAGTTGTAGATTAAGAGCTTAATGTGGTAGCAAGTTCTGAGGCTTTTCCTGGGAAGATGTGGACAAACCTCTCTATCCCAGATGGTGCACCAAGGACAGACAGAACAAAGAAAGGATTCTACCCAAGTGTATCTTAGTGAACTAGTGAGTTGATTGGGGTCATTTACAAGGAGCATGATGACTCAAATGCAGCTGCATCTCTGAAAAACCCATCCCAGCATGGGTAAAGATTCTGGAAAGCTGTGTCCCTGCAGCTCCCTACATGACTGGCAGGTACCTAGGCTGGTTGGAAAATCTGCTCTCCCCAGCAGTCGTCTCTTATAACCTTGACAAGGGGCCTTGGGAATCTTGTAAATTTTAGGAACTCACTGTGGTCTATAAGCATATTGTAAATGTCATTTCAATTGGCAGGAAACAGCAGCACGGAACTTGGATTGTGCTTGTTATCCCAGTGTTTGGGAGATGAAGGCAGGAGGATCAGGAGTTCAGACATATAAGTTTGAGGCCAGTGTGGGCTATATGAAATTGTCTCAATTTCCTCTTACTTCCTTAACATAATTGCAAGTGTTTTTATGTGCTCATGTGTATTTTTCCTATTCCAAGTTCTCAGTGATCTGTGAACCCCATGTGTGAGTCTCTATGGTAGATGGTCTTAATATTCTTTCCACCCATACTGAGGGTCTGCTATGTGCGAAGCTCAGGGGAGCTGATGACAGTGAAGACAGAGACACTGAAGAAGATTATTCATCCATGGAGGGAAATAGACACTTAACATTGGAACAAACAATTTCATAGAATGGTAACTTGAATGAAGGAAATAAAACAGGTGGTATATAAATGATAGTGAGGAGGTGTGGCTTCCTGCTATTCATGGAGGCAATGACATGTTGACATTCTAATATTCAGTTCCTCACAATATGACCTTACCTTGGAAATAGGTGCTTGCAGATATGATTAGTTTCAATAAGCTCACATTAGCGTAAGGTATTCTGCTGCAAAAATACTACTCTCACCTCAAAAGGGATAGAGATAATTTATTCTGTAGTCAAATACAAGTGACAAGGCTAGGAATACAGATTTAAGTTATCCTAAATTCCATGTTCTAACATGGTAACAATTTAATGAAGTTTTTACAGTAACAAAATCATAAGAAGGTAAAGCCAGATGTGGTGGCACACACCTTTAATCCCAATACTTGGGAGGTAGAGGCAGATTGATCTCTGTGAGATGGAGGCCAGTCTGGGCTACCTAGCAAGTTCTAGGCCAGCTGGGGCAATAGGAAATACCCCGTCCACCCCCATCCAAAAATAAAAAAATAAAAAGGAGATGGGGAGGGCTGGAGAGATGGCTCAGTTTTTAAGATCACTGAATGCTCTTGCAGAGGACCTGGGTTTGGTTCCCAGTACCCACATGGCAGCTAACAACTCTCAGTAACTCCAGTTCCAGGATCCCACAACCTCTTCTGGCCTCTGGGGGTGCACCTTACATACATGCAGGGGTGTGCACCTTACATACATGAAGGCAAAACACTCATACACATAAAAATAAAATAACAACCTCCCCTCAAAACAAGACATTTTTATTTTTAATTTTAAAAATTTTATGTGTATGCATATATTGCCTGCATGTAGGTAAGTGCACCTGTGTCATGCAATGCCCACGGAGGACAGAAGAGACCCACCTTACATACATGCAGGGGTGTGCACCTTACATACATGAAGGCAAAACACTCATACACATAAAAATAAAATAACAACCTCCCCTCAAAACAAGACATTTTTATTTTTAATTTTAAAAATTTTATGTGTATGCATATATTGCCTGCATGTAGGTAAGTGCACCTGTGTCATGCAATGCCCACGGAGGACAGAAGAGACCCTCGGATCCCCTGGAACTGGAGTTCTGGACAGTTGTTAGCTGCCATGTGGGTGCTGGGATTCAAACCTGGGTCTTCTTCAAGATACAAATTCAAAGTCAAGTCTGGTGGTGTATGCCTGCAATTCTAGCACTGGAAGTCCAGGCTACATAGCAAGACCATATATGTGTGTATATATATATATATATATTTTGGTCTTTTTGAGACAGGGTCTCCCTGTAACCCCAGCTGGTCTGGAACGCTCTATGTAGACCAGATTGGCCTTGAACTCACAGAGATCCACCTGCTTCTGCTTCCCACATGCTGGGATGACTAAAGCCGTGCGCCACCACGCCCGGCCCAACACCCAGTATCTTTTTGAGAGATGGCACGGAGATAGAGAATATGAGTAAAATCTATTGTTTAGGTCTCCAATTTTTAATTACTGCAGCCGTAGGTAAATAATACAAGCATCTTTTTTTTTTTGGTCTTTTTGAGACAGGTCTACCTGTAGCCCCAGTTGAACTCACTATGTAGACCAGGCTGGTCTCAAACTCACAGAGATCAGCCTGCCTCTGCCTCCCAAGTGCTATGATTAAAACCACACTGGGCACAAGCATCTTTTTGTAAAAGATTTATCTATTTAGAGACAGGGTTTTACCAGGTAACACTGGCTGGGCTTGAACTCCCTATGTAGACCAGGCTGGTCTCTAACTCACAGACATCCACCTGCCTCTGCCTCCTGATTGCTGGGATTAAAGGTCTGCACCACCACACCTGACTATATTTTTAAAAAATTATGTCTGGGGTGGAGAGATAGCTCAGCAGTTAAGAGCACTGACTGCTCTTGCAGAGGACCCGGGTTCAATTCCCAGCACCTACATGGTGTCTAAGACTGTCTGTAGCTCCAGTTCTAGGGGAATCTGATGTCTTTTTCTGACTTCCATGGATATTGCATGACATGGGTACATTTACATACATGCAGGCATAACCCTCACATTTTTACCGTCCTTAATTCCAGTTCCAGGGGAATCCGAAGCCCTCTTCTGACCTCCATGGCATTGCACGACACGGGTGTACTCACATTCATGCAGGCAATTCTCATACAAATAAAATGAAAATAAATAAAATATTTAAAAAATTATGTCTGAATCTGTATGTCAGCATGTATGTAGGTGCCTGCAAAGTCCAGAAGAGGGTGCCAGCCCTCCAAAGGTTGTTACAGGTAGTTGCAAGCCCAGCTCCCAAAGCTGGGTGCTGGAGAACTCAATGTGAGGCCTATGCAAGAGCAATATGCTCTCTTAACTGCTGACCCATCTCCCCAGCCCCTCCAGGCATCAAAGGATATTTTGGTTTTTTAAGACAGGTTCTTGCTATGTAGCCCAGGCTGGCCTCAATTCTAGTTAGTGGGATGCCAGGTAGGTAGCACCACACCCAGCTGAAGGTTTCATTTGAAAGAGACTCCATCACTAGCAAGAGGCCTTTGCATGAAGATTGAGGGAAGAATGCAAAATCAGGATGAGAACAATGGCTGGGGAGCTGGAGTCAGGGCAGTGAGGTAGGTGTGACTGAAGCCAGCCTATGGCAGAAGGGGGGATCCTGGATTCAATTAACTTGGAGCCAGTTGTGTCATCTGAGTGACCGAAACCGCTGTCAAGGGTCACCCAGTGTCTTGGAGGACAGGAATCTAGGATGCATTGGTTGCAATAAATAAGCATGTCAGCATGAGATGACAGGGCCGGGTCTGCATTTCCCCACCCTGCCCTTGACCTTGCAGCACGGACAATGTCAACTCTGGCGTTCCAGGGAAATGGCTTTGGCCTGGCAGTGCTTAAAAGGGTTACTGAATTTTCTTTCGCCTCCCTCAAATCTTTTTCCACCTCCACTCGTCCCAATCCACCATCTAGGCAACATAAGCTGCAAATACAGCTTGAGGACAAGCTCTCTACCCACTTCGGAAAGAAACGTACTATGCTCATGCACCCGGAGACAGGCCCCGCCAAGAAGGCAAAGTAGCGGGGTTCACATGGCCCGCAGGGGAACGCGCGCGCATGCGCGGGCCCTGCTCTCTGGCCGGCGGGTGGGGCGGGCGCTGGGGTGGGGCCCGTGACGTCAAGTGCGCGCGTGGCTCCGACTGCGCAGGAACAGCTGGTGCCTCGAGGGGCGGCTGGCGAGCGCGCGGGTGGGGTGCTGGTGTCCGTCCACGCCACGCTGTGGGAGCCGCGGGCCGCCTGGTCTCGCTGCGCCATGTCCGCTCAGCTAGAGCGCTGCAAGAGTGAGTGGCACGAGCTGGAGGGGGAGTTTCAGGAACTGCAGGTAGGGCTGGGCCACCTGGTCCCGCAACTCTGCTGCCTGCCGTGCGGTCCCCATCCTGCCACCCGGAGGTGGGGCGGCCATCACCTGGAGGGTGGCCGGGGCTTTGCGTCCTAGGGGCCGGTGGGTGGCATGGCCCAGCCCCTTCGCATCTTGTAGCGCTTCAGTGCTTGAACCTCGTGGGGGCGCCCGGTTGAAGACCGACCCCCATACTCCAGCCCTCTCTTCTGCTCTTTGCCCCATGCACCACCGTTGCTGCAGAAAGTTAGTCTGTGTCCCCTCAGGGTAGTTCCATGTGTTTTGGCGGGGGGGGGGTGCGGGGTAAGTGCCGAAGCTTAAAGACCTGCCCAGCCCCCACCGCCTCAGGGGTCCTCCCTAACCCGCTTCCCCTCCAGCTGCTGTTGCCTCTGTGCTGGCTGGGGCAGCCCCTCCTGCAGCTCTGTTTGAGAGAAGTACTTAGCAGCTTTTCACCTTGAACGCCTAGGCTGTGCCTGAGGTGCAAAGACCCTTATTACAGCCCTGTCTTCGGGGACTCTGATATTGTTCCAGTTGTGGGCTGCTGCAGGCAGAGTTTGGCACATCGCAGATACCTGTCAGATCCGACACCTGGCTGTCTGACCCAGTGATAGAGGGCTGAACCCAGCCCTCACCCTTTTGGCTCAGAGCCTTCCACTTGGTGGGGCGAAGGTGGAAGTAAGAGCCGGTTCTTTAAAGAATGGCATTGTGTCCACATCCAAGTAGGAGGGTCCTTCGTGATAGGTTCAAAGTGGCCTCAGCTAAGTCCAGGGCGGGGGCGGGGGGCGGGGGATAGAGAGTCACAAAACCGAAGGCACGTCCAAGAGGAACAACACAGGACCCTTTTGGGGAGATGCTCTGTCTCCAGACACTGAGTTGGGTTTTTTCAGGGGATTGCACGCCACAGGTCCTCACACCCTTTCCTCTCTTTCCTTGTCTGTTTAGCTTTCCTCTGTAGTCTGGTTGCCCTCTGGCTGTGCCCAGAGGGAGGGGCGGATGTTGCCAATGGGTGTTGGTGATGGGTCTTTCTAAAGTGAGGCTGTAGGTCCTCATGAGGGGCACAGAGGCAGCTGGTGAGCCTGAGCATGGAGAGTGCTGTTTAAAGCATGCTCAAAGGATGAGGTACCCAGAACTGTCATCCCTGCCTTGCTCTCTCCAGTTCATTTGAGTTGGTGCCTTCTCTTTCAAGTCTAGGGCTTTGGTCTCAGGAGACCCATTTGTTTCCTCAGGGAGAATACTCAACTGTTTCTTAACAGTATGTCCTCCTGGGCTATGAGGTCATGCTCAGCCCTGAGTGGGTCCTAAAGTAGGGAGTGGAAGAAGGGGTTTCCTGTGTGAGGTTTTTTGTTTTTTTTTTTCCATAGTTTTCCTTGGCCTGCCTTAAACTAAGAGAAGAGGAGGAGGTGGAGTCTTACACTTCAGATCTGTGCAGTTAATGCAATTAACAACAATTAGAGAGCAAGTCTTGGCAGGCAGATGTTTCAAAGGAGTCCTTTGATTTCTTTTGTTTGGACTTGGGAAAAAAGATGTTACCATGTGTGAGATGGTCAGGAGTGTCAGGGACAGAGGAATCAGAATTTGATATGGATTTCAGCTACTGAAGTGAGCAGTGAGGGTTATAGATGGTCCTTCCAAGTGCAGGTGGTCAGGTCTCTAACCCAGCTCTTTAGAGATAGGGGAACCAGAACAAACTAGATCCTCCTTTGGGGAAGAGGGACCCAACTGGCTGTATGAGTCTAGTCACAGATGACCTGCTGGGAATCAAGATCATAGACTGGAGCAAAAAGTACCATCTACATTTTTTATTCACAGATACAGAAACTGAAGCTTGGGCTTGCTAATTGTCCTAGCTGGGATCACATAGCTATTTCATGTAAAAGTGCTGAATTCTGTTCTGGAATTGTCCTGTCTTCCTTACACACGAGTCTGAACTCCTGGGAAGAAAGTGTCTGGATCTATGTGTATCATAAGTCCAAGCTGTAAAGACAGGCACCACCACACCCGGCTTCTGAACAGATGTTTTGATCAGAGATATTAGTGGGGGAACAGGAGGGAATACAGCCAGATTGGGGGGGTCAGGCTGCAGCAGGAAAGTTAACAATATGGGGGATTTTTTTTTTTCAGCAAGAAATCATGATTAGTCCAAATTTTCCTACATCGGCCTGTGAATCTTGCATTGTGGGTCTCATCTTTGCACCTCTCCAGTTCTGGGGTGACATACTGTGTCTGTGTTTTATCTCTCCTTCCTTTTTTGAAATGAAGGAAAGAGGAAGCTTATTCTCTGACCTTGTAATATTCGAAGGTCTTTGGAATCTCCCTTCCCCTATTAAAAGCCCTAACAATGCCTAGGGCTTTCTAGACGAAAGGGTTTGTTTTCTTTGGACTGTGATTTACACTTATTGAGGCCCTGCTGGACTCTGGGGAAAGCTGGAGTCTTCAGTAGGACTTGGTATTCAGGTGTTTTGCCCACGCTCATGAATTGAGCATCAATTGGAGATCAGCATGTGCCTGGCTCCCTGAACTGTGATGTGACCACAGGTCACTTGCAGACACACTGTGGGCCTAGATTTAATGATCAGTTCCTGTCTTGCATCACTGGAAACCTGACCCTGTATCTCTATATCTATACACCCC